CGTGGGCATGCATCTAGCGTTTCTAAGTTGTCGCTGGAACTTCGGGAGATCTGTAGATTAGATCTTCATTGTTGGGGACTTTTGGAGCCCTCGGTACACTAGATTTCAGCCACGGCACCTTCGCCCAGATTCCAGGTGTAAAACCTATAAATTGTGCTGGACACAAATTATTAATTTTGGAGACTTACCGTAAAATAAACCTCCTCCCTATTTTCTGTAACCCCTGGAAATTATCAGATTTCCTCTGCGGAACCAAGGCCGGTAACGAGGTTGCTGAAACGCATTCTGACCAATGGTCCAATGGTCCAATGGTCAGAATGCGTTTCAGTAGCCTCGTTGCCGGTGCCTCAGTGACCAAGACGAAGAAAGTAGCCTTTCCGGCGACGAAGCCAGTAGCCTTTCCGACGACCTCCTTCAACATAACTCGCCCAACTTGCTCAAAATTTTGGGGGAGGGGGTTATTAAAGAGGGGGCCACTTTTTTTTTTTTAAGGTTTTACAGTATATCAGCTGAAAGCGCTGTGGGATCTCACTTCGACTTTTCTCCTGGAAAGCAACGCGCCTGTTCTGTAACAATTAACCTTTGCGTCATGTGGCCTTCGACTCCTTCCCTTCTTGCTCTGGGGCTGCTGGCGACTCTTGCAATTGCAGTCGCCGCAGTCTCGCCAACCACCCTGACTGACGCACGATCTCTGCAACTTCACTTTACGCTCAAGCGATCTTCCATGGAGATATTTGGCCACCTCGAGTTTGACGTCTTTGCCAGCCCTGTTGTATCCGCTGGCAATTCCGCTGTTCGGTACGACGGCTACGCCAACTTCAAAGAAGGTACAACCAATCACACAATTGTGATGGTGGACGGCATTGCTTACTTCGTGACGCCGACCGCCGATGGGACGGAGACTGCGGAGTGTTCGTCTTCAAGTTCGCTCGCTTTACTCAACTACATCATTCCAGCACTAAACGGAGCAACTGCCATTTCTAGTGCGACGGTCGAAGATAAGAAAATAAACTGTTCAAGCGGAGATCTGCTCAAGCTCACCCTGGGTGACGCTATATTCGTTCTTTGCGCATCGGGCCCTGCCGGTTTTATCGTCTACGGAAGTGACCTGGACATCGAAGTCACGTACCTGGATAGTCCGGTATCCATTTCGGCACCTAAACTTAGCGAAGATGCAGCCCGTTCCTGTGAAACGATAGTAATGCCTTCATCGGTATCAGCGACAACACTAGCCTTGCTTACAGGCGAGCCCGTATCAAAGAACTGGAACACGCAAGGCCTTGCCCGTTTTCTGGGCAACTACTTTAGTTATGCACGCTAAATACTCTTGTACTAATATTACGTAGTTAATTTCGCTAGAAATAATTTTCAAATTTCTTTGAAGATCTGAATAAATGACGAATATTAGCGATGGATGATCCCATATACTAGTTCACGTAAAATTACGAAGGGTAGCGCTGTAGCTACAGATCGAGGGTTTCATCAAAAGCTAGTTTTTACTGCTCTAATATTACTAGAAAATGACTTGTATTACCAGGAAGAAGGTCTAAGAAGAAATCCTATTAACCCTTCTAGCCCCTCTGTTTATGCTGTATTATACAGCAAAAGGAATAAGCTTTCCTATAGTACATGTATGACGGCGTACCTGTGAAATTTATCTGTTTGTAGCCCCCTTCTAGCAATCGAGCCGGATTCTAGTACAATTTATGATGCTGCCAGTGAATGCAAGAGTCCTGGCTAGATCGATGGATACACCTTTGTGCAAAATCGTGAAAAATGTCTGTAGCACTCGTTACCCTTTCATACTCGATGTACGGAAGTCGTCTTGGCGATTCGCGCCAAAACTGGTGGCGTGGAGAGCGCTGCATCTACTCCGCTTTCCGCGGAGGAAACGTTTGCCCATTTGTCAAGCAAAGACTTGAGTAAACAACAAATGGGCAAAATTTCCTCCAAATTAGATCAGAAGTGAGCTACTCGTCATCTACGTCCTGCAGCTTTCTTTTCCTGAATCTAATTTTCTTTCTCATGTCCGGCGGGATGATGGTGCCATTCTTCCAGGTGATATGCCATGTCTGATGGCACGTGTCGGTGCTGCCTCGCTCCTCTCTGCGAACCTTGTTGCAGAGAGCCACGCGACCCCCAAAGGTAAGCGAGCATTCTTCACAAGAGTACGGCGTCTCGAAGCTGTGATGTTTTTATTGTCGGAATAGGCCGAACATACTTTGCATAAATACTGACGGACTTTGTTCTTGTAGGTTTCCGCATTTTTTGTCAGCACGTGCGGTTGTCCTGCCAGTGGGGTCGAAAGTAAGTTTTGGGCGTGCATGCTGCCTTGAAATCCACCTTTTGCTGCGCAAGCAGCTCCACGTGTAGCCGCGCCAAATCGTCAGCATGGGTGGGAACAGGTTTGCCTTGCTTTTTCATCACTAACTAGTGGATAATGAACTCATTGACTAATGCCATGTCAACGATACCGAAACACAGGTTCTTGTAGTAGGATCGATGGCGCAGTGCTTTCTGGATAGAATAGCGGTGAAGTCGCAGCTGATCGTGTTGGTCTACTCCTCCCATGCCTTTGTTGTAGATACGAACCAGCTCGGGGCACGCAACTTCAAGAGAGACGCCATCCCCCTAACGCTTTCGCTGAACAATAACCCGTCTCGTGCTGCATCCCGTTGCCATGAAGTTGACGATCTTTGAATCCTTCCAGCTAGCGGCGATTAACCCTGGGATCCGTGGATTATACGCGACACGGTACGCTCCGCGCTCAATTTTGTTTGCAGGTTGCTGAGGTTGCAACTGCTTTTGCTTTTTCTTACTGGGGAACTGGATCCGCTCGCTCCAGCCTTTCCGATTCACGCGTGTTGTACCTACTGTGTAGATTCCCATTCTCAGAAGGCGTTCGGCTAGCTGCACGCAGGTGTAGTAGTTGTCGGTGACGACTAGGCGCTTTCCAGGCTGCCCTCGCAACGCTTTGGTCAAGTTGCGGATCACCGCTTTCGAAATAGCTGACTCGGTGTCTTCTTTCCCGCGATAGATCTCTATTCTGTATGATTCACCATAAACACACAGCATTAGATACCATCCGCGCTCTGCTGTAGGCTACATCATAAGACGACTTACCGAAAACAGTATGCTGTATCAGAACAGCAAACCATGTAAAACTTGGTTCCCCACTTCGTTGGTTTGTCCTTCATGTAGATTCGCATCGGGTTGTATTGATGCCTGCTGCCAATCATCCCTTCATCGAAGGAAAGCGTGGAACCCATTCGGTATCCGTTTCGAAAGGTCTTCTCAATCATCTGGAGGACAGGACGCAATTTCCAAGCTTTGTCTTTCTTACGCCGGTCGTTCGCATTGTCATTGAAGTGTAGATAGCGCGTGATCTCCTCAAATCGCTTGCGAGTCATGAATTTGCCGAACGTGCCTCGTGGAATTGCCCCATTCTCAGACGTCGACCAGTGATCTCCTAGTGAACGCCGGTGGGCGCACAGTGCACGAGCTATAAGCAGTGCAATGTAGTGAACTATCTCGTGAGCTTGAAAGGGTTTCACCTTGCTCAAAGTGTCTTTGATATCCGATAACGACTGGACTCGACTATCTGGGTGTGTAAGTTGCCACTGTTGCTGACGGCGTTGCTTCTGGATAGCGACTTCATCTACCACACTCGCACGATATCGATTGGATTCCTCAGCAATTTTGGTCCACATCAACTTCGGCATGAAGTAGTAAACATGGCAAGAGGTGACTCCGCATACGTTCGCGCAGACTCCGTTGGACCCCACCGGCCATTGTACAGATCCGATGCACCATCTACTTGCAGGTCTCCACTGTGGTCTTGATCGTATACAACTCACGCAGAAGAAACCGGCCTTCAATTCCGCGTCACGGAAGAAAATCAGGATTGGCATTGTAATTTTTCTCGAAGGGGACCAGTCATCATCAGCAACATCTTCGAGAATTCGGCGTCATCTAATCCGTCATCGTTGTCGCTGAGGGCATCCTCGGCGGCATTACTTACCAAGTCCACTTCCGTGTCCATTACTTCGTGAACATAATCTTCCGTATCAATATCATCAGACTTGTCGCTCTCCGAGTCCGAGTCACAGAGATTGGGATCGGCTGCATCCGCATTTTGAGCCATTCACACTTGGACAAAGCGGAAATGAATCCATTCGAATCGTGCATGTTGAACTCTGCAACGTCATCAAATTCGGGTTCCTCACCTTTTTCCCCTTCCTCTACTGCAGCATGACCTTCTGCTGTATCAAGATGCAGAGGCAGCGTCATCGTGTTTTCTTTTGCTATATCAGACAGGATAACGCTTGAAACTTGTGCTGTAGAAGCCAGAGTAACAGGACGCACAGTCAGAGCTTGTACTGTAGCATCCCGAGTAGCCACACTTGCAGTCCGAACTTGTGCTGTAGCCGGTCGAGCAGCTGCGGTCGAGGGCCGAGCTTGTACTGTATTAGCCGAAGCAACTGGACTCGAAGCCCGAGCTTGAGTTGTACTGGCTACAGTGGTTGCCGTCGCCGTAGAGGTCGTCGTAGCTGGCACGCTCTCTTTAGCAGGCAGGGTAGTCGCTGGTGCTGTCTCCCTTTCGACGCGATCAGTTGCGGCAGAAGTGGACCTATTATCGCACGCTCCGCTGTCTGCAGGCGGTGCCGTCAATGCTGTCGACGAAGGGGACGGAGGAATAGTTCCAGCGATGACACTATACTCTAACCAGCCACGCTGTCGAGCAAACTCCAGTAGCGCTTTCTCGCCTGAGGGGACAAAACGGTTAGTAACGTTGTTGTAATCGATGCAAACTAGTGGTGCGAGCTGTACGGGTGAAGTAGTCGACGCCATCCTTTCCTTTCACGCTTCTTCCCGGGCGATCGTAGCGGTGGTCACTTCTAAGGCCGATGGAGGGCTTCGGTGTCCACCCTTGCTTGCAAAGCTCTCGCCGGAGCTGCTTGAACGTTTCTTACATGCCGTTCGACTTGGGCGGAGCGGGGCGGAGGGAGACCGAGATTTCAAATGTAGTGGGGAGGGAGCGGGATAGCGCGATCGACACAAACCTCTATCCACCCGATAGCATCCGTAGACGGGCTCCTCTAACCCCAGATCAGTAGCGACGTGCGAGAAACCAGTCACCGTTATGATTTGCAACCGACCAATACAAATTTCAGTATGCGAAAAAGTTTGATGTTTCATTGTTCGCTGCATATTAAAACCTCTTATAATACTTATGCTATATTATACAGCATACGGGACTAGAACGGTTCAAGCGATATACACACAATCCTCATTGATGTGGAATCCCAAATAGTGATATCCATCTAATTAACGAGGCTCGAGTGGACCGATAGAATACAAACCCACGTGTTCAATGTCTTGTGACGCAGCTGCTCAGGCCCAGTCGAGCGTGCACTCAGACGCGCCTTTGACAATTTTTTCGTCCGTAGTCGTGCTGAGCTACATTGACCATTACGAGCAGTGCTCGAGTGCATGCGCACTTATAAGCTGTTTGTCAGCTAAGACAAGTGCTTTTTTTGGTGCGGAGGATACCCCATTTCTCGGACGCTTTATTGGGAAGCGTGGCTTGCGGGCAGATCCTGCCAAAGTCAAGGACATCGTAGACTGGCCGGTTTTCAATAACCAAAAGGACTTACGCGAGTGGCTTGGCTTAGCCATTACTTGCATAAGTTCAGCGCATATTTCGCGGAGACAGCTCGGACATTGTCGAATCTCCTTACGAAAGATACACCGTGGTGCTGGGACGTCGGCACGACGAAGCCTTTGAGGCTGTGAAGGAGAGCCGTCTTCGGGCGCCGGTACTGGAGCCATCGAGTCCAAATCGTCCGTTTAGCGTCGCCTGCAACGCCTCCGATTTGCAATTGGGTGTGCTTCCTACAAACAGACGCCGAAGGGCGCGAGTGCGTGTTCGCGTTTGAGTCTCGCCAGCTTAAAGCTGCTACTTGCCGTGAGCTATTCCCTAGTCAAGCTCAGGTCGGCTCCAAGCCTTTTGTGGTCTTTACTTATCATGCGTCGCTATGCACTGCGGTACCTCTCAGAGAATGGCGAGATGTCACTCATTCTCCGCCGAGTATAACTTCGAGGCGAAGTACAGGTCGGGGCGGGTTAATGTAGTGTTCGACGCGCTTTCGCGCTGGACGGACTACGAGTTAGCCCGACTGACGTTGTCCATACCTGAGCTGATACGCGCAGCGTATGCACAAGATGACAAGTGCGTAGCCCTGCTATGCGCTCTTGGGAGCGAGGAGTTTAAATACGCTAAACAAGAACTGTCCGGGTGCATCGATACACTCTCGATGT